GGGACGGAGGAAGAGCTCAGCTCCGTGGGTGTCCATTGAGGGGAGGGTATGGGGTCTGTGACCACCTCTGACTCACTCATTCATTCACTCATTAATTCAGTACACTTTTACTGAGTCCCAGGCACTGTGCTGGGTGCTGGGGGGGACACAAGCCCTGTGTCCAGGAAGAGTCTAATCTTTTTCAGGGAGACATTTACAAAATAAATCATGTGGTAAAGACTAGGAAGAAAATCAGACAGAGGAAAGGGTTAGGGTTGTTGTTACTCTATACAGAGTCATGGGGCGGGCCTCTCTGAAGAGGGTCCCCATGAGCTGATTAAGACCTGAATGAGGAGAAGCCAGTCACCTGTGGATCGGAGGGACAGCAGCTGGAATGGGTTAAAGGGTGGGTGTGGGGAGAGCTAGAGAAGACTCGTGGGGTGAGGGAGGGGCTGCCTGACCACCATAAGTTCACATTTTAGTCTCAGGTTGTTGGAGACCTAGAGACAATCTGGTCCAACCTCCTTCCCTCCTTTTTCTTAAAAAAGATGGGACCTCATAATTCTGCCTTTGCTATGTGGCATGGCCACAGCTCACTGTAGCCTCCAGCTCCTCAGCTCAAACGATCCTCCTGCCTCAGCCTTCCGAGTAGCTGGCACTAGAGGCGCACACCACCATTCCTGGCTAATTTTTTATTTTGTTTGTTGGACGGAGTCTTGCTCTGTTGCCCAGGCTGGAGTGCAACGGTACGATCTCAGGTCATCACAACCTCTGCCTCTCAGGTTCCAGCGGTTCTGCTGCTTCAGCCTCCTGAGTAGCTGAGATTACAGGCATATGCCACCACTCCCAGCTAATTTTGTAATTTTAGTAGAGATGGGGTTTTATCATATTGGGCAGGCTGGTGTCAAACCCCTGACCTCAGGTGATCCGCCCACCTCGGCCTCCCAAAGTGCTGGGATTACAGGCATGAGCCACCACGCCCAGCCTAAATTATTTATATAAATGGGGTCTATTTTTCCCAGGCTGGTCTCAAACCCCTAGTCTAAAGTTATCCTCCCACCTCAGCCTCCCAAAGTGTTAGGGTCACAAGCCCTCATTTTGTAGATGGGGAGACCATCCTCAGAGAAAAGAGGAAGCTGTCAGGGTCACCAGTGGTTGGTACCGAGTCTGGCCTCCTGCAGGACTCCCAGGCCAGAATGCCAACTCTAGCCGCCTCTTCTTTGTCTATGGGTCGAACCTCTGGTTCCATCTGACCAGACGTTCAGCTCTCCTGGCCCCGCTGTGCACCCCAAGGCCGTCTTCCTGTCTGTCAGCCTGGTCTCCCCTGCTGACTCTATCTTCGAGCCACTCATCTCTCTGCTGCTGCTGTTCTAATGATAGATGAGGTTTCAAGGTTCTACCAAACAAGCCTGTCCATCAGGAGCAAGGCGAAATCTCAGCTACTTCCCAAGGGCTCCTACCAGCCCAGCGAACCCAGAGCCTTGGGGCTGGATGCAGCATCCCTTCAGGTCCTGCTCCCGGCTGCCCTTGCACTGGTTACAAGGACTCTACCACCGATCAGGTCAGGCTGTCCCTCCTTAGCAACTCTCCCCAGAATGTCCTTGTCCTACATCTAGTCTCCCCAGACACCCCTTTCCTCCTTATAGGTCCTCTTGCCCGTGAAGTCCAGCCTGGCCTGTGAAAAGGGCACTGGACTGGGAGTCAACAGCTGCTGCCTCTGGCTTCTTACAGATTCCTTAAATCTAACCTCAATCCCTCCTGCTGCAGAGAAAGTGCCTTTCTCCTGGCTCAATCTCTGTCAACGCCAAGAAGGCAGGGTGTCCTCTACTTAGAGAAGTGATTCAAGTCTCTGCCTGCCTGACTCTTCCTGGCCTCCCCAACTGTCTCCTACCCCAACCTGACTCTGAAGGGGCAGCCCTCAGCCAGGCCGGGGGCTGGCCACTATCTCCCAGCCCATCCTTGTTACCTCCTAATTCCCCAGACTTCTCCAGGGTTCACCCAACCCAGCCAAAGGTTCAGATCCTTTCCTCATAAACTCTATTACACCCAGAGTTCAGAAGATCACAGCAGGTTGAGGATCCAAAGGAGCCCAGAAATTATTAATAACATATCCCACTCTGTCCTGTTTGCAGTGATTTTCTTGGAAGTATCAGTTACCCATATAGATCCTAGCAAATACGAAAAGGAAAGGCAATTAGAAAAGATCCTTTATTATTCCACAAACAAGAGTCGAAGATTTTGCCAACAGCCTCACTCTATAAATGCAAAACATAGGTCCAGAGAGGGAAAGCAACTTGCCCAAAGTCACACAGCAAGTGAGATGGCGGGACTAGAAGCCACATCTCTGGCCACCCTCTGTGTGGTCTTCCTGAAAACTGATGGTTCTCACCAGCAGCCTCTCAACATGTCAGTTCCACTGGTCTCTGCCCACACCTCCCACCCTGTCAGCACCCTTCCCCTCCCACCCCCACATCCTCTTCTCAACAGGGACCCAGGCCTGTCTCAGCTACATGCTGGGATCATTAAAGTCAAGAACTGCCACTGCCACTGTGCCTGGTGCCAGCACACCCCTGAGACAGCACATCAACCACAGTGCTCACCTCAACAGCCCCTCCCTCACCCCACCCAAGGGGCACTCATGTCAGTGAGGCACAGGTCTCTATCTTCTTAATCATCTCTGTTAAGGGGCTAGGCTGCAAATTACCCATCTCCCCAACCCCAGAGAAAGTCTGGGTGCCTAGGGGAGAGGAGGACTGAGACTATGAAAATTAGTCTTCCTGTTATAACATGAGGGATTCCAGGCAGATCTCAGAAAGGACTTCCAGGTGGGAGAGATGAGTTTGGAGAACTGGTGAGGGGAAGAGGAATGTGCAGAATGGGACGCCTCCCTCCACCCCCCACCCCAGTACCCCATCTAGAGCCAGAGCAGCTGAAGTCCAAAGGCTGCCAGGGCAGATGTGAGCAGGTGTAAGGAGGGGGTCCCTTGAGGCTGGGGTTGCAGCAGCAGCAAGTTGCTTCTTCCTGGGGCCACTGCCTCCCTACTGACACCAAATAGGCAAGGGAAGGTGACAGCAGGGCTGCTGCCTTCCCAGGGAGAGAGACTGTGTCTCCACCGTCCCCCTGACTGCTCCCACCTACCCTTAGCCTGGGTCAGCTTTGGGCTCGGGGGTGTGGCAGAGAAGAGGAAAAGAAGGCATGGCTGGGGCAGGGGCCTCCCGAGGCTCAGCTCCGGTCTCATCAGAATCCAGCCTTGCCTAGGTGATCAGGGATCCCAACAACTGTCCCCTTTCAGAGCCCATGGCCACTCTGAGCTCCCTCCCGCCCTCCGCCACCCCCGCAAGGTCCCGCCAGTATCCTTCCAGAAGGGAAGAAGAGGGCCAGGCTTCGGTGTCTCCACCGTCACTCACACACCCTGTGTGTTTGGGAAAGTGGGGTCCCTGTCCATCCACCTGCCCACAGCCCCCAGCGCTCCTGGCCTCCTGCGGACAATACTCCCCTCGCGGACATCGCCAGGCCGTCCACACCTGCCCATGCCCACACCTGCCTTCCCACCCCTCCCCACCCCCGGCCCACCCAGGCCGACTCCGGCCAGTCCTACCTGCTCCAGGCTCGGGGCTCAGCGCCCCGGCAGCCTCCCTGAGCACCAGCACCAGGAGCCAGAGCTCGCCCCGCATGGTGGGTGCCAGGACCTGTCCCCAGCCTGCTCGCTACCCCAGCCCTGATGAGGGAGGGGGCCCCGTCTCCGGGTCCTGCCGCACGGTTCCCGGGGCTAGCTGAGGGGCGGGCGGTGAGGAGGCGGCGGAGCTCGGGGCCGGGCGAGCCGGCGGGAGAGGCGAAAGCGCGAGCAGAGCGGGAGGCTGCGGCCTCCCGGAGCAGGCGGGGAGCTGGCGGCGGGGGGGGGGGGGCGCGCTGGGTCCGGAGGGGGGAGCTGGGGCAGGGGGCGGGGCGGGGGGCGCGGCGTCGTGGGGGGCTCTCCCCGCGCCTGCCCTCGGCTCTCCGGGAGAGCTCCCGCAGCCGCTCCCAAGGCGAGGGGCGCAGAGTAGGGAACAGGGAGGGAGCCCCTCGGGCTGGAAGAACCCCTAGAAGCGTCAGCCGCCCTGGGCTCCGTATTGAGCTTCTGGCTCCCTTTTCCTGCTCTGTTCTGCTGGGAAAAACTGCAGAGAGAAAGCCCGAGGGACTGGACCCCAGGAAGGGACAGGCGCCTCCTCCCTGGGCCACGGGCCCCTGCCTGTGTCCTGCCCCCAGCGCCTTCAAGCTCTGAGACTTTCTGAGAGCTTGTACGGAATTCTGTACGTCTCTGTTGCTTTGTCCTGCAGCCCCCACCCCCAGGAATCTCCCCTGCAGCAAAGACCCCCAGCTTCTCTCCCCAAGAGGGGCCCGAATCCCACCCCCCTCCCATGACTCCACCTTATCCCTCCCCTCCCCATTTCCAGCACCGTTTTGTCCCCCAGCCTAGCAGACATGAGGGTGCAGGGGCCCTGGCAAACCCCTATTCTGCAACAGCCTGGACCCCTCCCCACGAGTAGATAGCCCAGGCCGCCAGCCTCTCCGGGGCCAGGCTTGCTCAGGGCCAGACCCCATCAGTCTTCAGAGCCAGCCCCAGACAGGGAAACGGCTCACCCCACCCCACTTGCCGCCACCTTCTAATAGGCTCTTGGGATAGATCATCTTTTTTCTTTCCTTCCAGGACGGAATAAAAATACCCGCAATGTAGATTTAATAGACGGCAAGGAATCAGGTCAGGACACGGAGGCACCTCTTCCTTCCCTGACCTACTTCGTTCTTGTGAGAGCAAGGAGCTGGGGCGCTGGAGGGAGTGGGAGACGGGGTGAGGGGGCACCCTGGCTTCTAGTGGGCTGGGGCCTAGGGACTAGAAAACCGCGAAGAGGAGACATTCCCCGGGAGGAGGATGTGGCTGGGGACAGGAGGGATCTGTGGGCTGGAAGAGGCGGGTTCCGTGGCACTGCGGTCAAAAAAAAGACCCAAGAAAGGAAACAAAGGCTCTCTAATCTCCTAGAACGTCGGCTCCTCCTTCCGCCGAACCCAGAGTCCCAGGGACGACCTCCTCCAGCCATAAACGCAAAGTCCCCTTACCAAGGAACAAGGCAAGGCCGGTCAGTAAGTTCTTCTTGATGTCTAATTTAAATCCCAATTTGACGGACTGTCAAACAGCATCAGCTAGGCAGCCGCCTCCAGCTGCGGCTCCTTGCTGCCCTCAAGTGGCCACGTCATGAGCCACAACCCCCTCGTCCTGCGGGTTTCCTCTTTCCCAGGCCTGCCCACGCGTGGCCTCGACCTCCTGCCTTCTCCGGGGTCAAGGTGAAAGGTCCCAGGAAGGATTCCAGCTCCGACCCCGGTGTCTTTACACATTCCTCCATCTGGGGTAACTCGTGGTCTGTCTTACAAAGTATCTTGCAAGAAGAGCTCAGGGTGAAACAAAAACTTGGAAATAGTAGAAGCAAACGTGTAAATTTTAATGTAAGCCTCTAGAACTTGAGATCGTAATCACCTGGAGGGTGTGTGTGTGTGATTTGTTTTTTGAGACAGGTTCTCGAACGTTGCCTAGGCTGGAGTGCAGTGACGCGATCATAGCTCACTGCAGCTTCCAACTCCTGGACTCAAGCGATAGGGAGGGTATATGAAAACAGATCTCCGGACTCCACCCTCAAGTTTCTAGTTACCTAGGTAGGAGATGAGGCCCGAGCGTACCCAGGTGATGCTGCTGGTCCCAGGACCACATTTTGAGAGCCATTGCTGTTGAATCCCCAGTTCCTTGCAGCCCTCACAGCTCCTCATCTGCCACTAGGAGTAAAAGAAAACAGTTTAGGAAAAATCGACACCCGAGACAAAAAGTTTAGGATCTTGAAAAGAAAAAAACCAGCCCAGGGGGCACCCGGATTTGAACCGGGGACCTCTTGATCTGCAGTCAAATGCTCTACCACTGAGCTATACCCCCTCTGCCGGTAACCTCTCGCAGGCAGTCCCTTAGTGTTATTGCCGCGCAGGCGCGGTGTGCTGCTCCCGAAGGGAAGTGGAAAGTTGGGTGGGACGTTTACAAGAGATGGAAAAAATACAACTCCCAGAAAATTTACTCACTTGGAATCAGGGATTGTTTCCTGAAGTTCTGAGTTGAAGATTCTCACTGATGGTGTAAGTATTCCTGGGGTATGGAAGAAGAAGTCTCGAAATCTCTCACTTCGGGGCGTCCCACTCTCGTGCCCTGCAGGAGCCCCCTTGCCAAGCCTCGGAGCTTCTTTCTCCCTCCCACATGCTCACGCCTGTTCTCCGGGCCTGTCTTCCCCAGCCCAGCCTTTAGAAACTCAGCCTCCCTCCCGCGATGGAAGAGCCGTCGTGGTCACTGGCCAGGCCGACCTGGGGGTGAGCCGCCTCCGCCCTGCCATTGCGCACCGTGTTCCAAGGGTCAGCCCGGAGCTCCTCGCTTTCACTCGCACTGCTTTCTACCCTTGGGTATACACACAGGCTGAGCCACTGGTAGGGACCAGGACTCTATTCTCACTCGCCTGCAAAGGAAAAGAGGGTGGCAGGCCTGCGACTCCCTCCCGTTCCATCTGTGAGGGAACTCCTTAGGGGACCTCCGGAGACCAACAAAACGAGAGAACTCCAGAGAGCAGAAGGGGACCCGAATTCGAACCGGGAACCTCTATGATCTGCAGTCAAATGCTTTACCACTGAGCCATCCCCCCATCACGCTGTACTGGTAACGTAAGTTTCTGTGGGATAGGGGTGTGGTATTCAGCCTCCCCTTTGCTATTTTCATTTTTATTTTTAGAGACAGAGTTTTGCTCTTGTTGCCCAGCCTGGAGTGCAGTGGCGCGATCTCGGCTCACCGCAACCTCCGCCTCCCAGGTTCAAACAATATTCCTGCCTCAGCCTCCTGAGTAAATGGGATTACAGGCACCAGCTGCTAAGCCCGGGTAATTTTTTTGTGCTTTAGTAGAGACAGTTTCTCCATGTTGGACAGGCTAACCTCGAACTCCTGGCCTCAGTGATCCACCCACCTCGGCCTCCCAAAGTGCTAGGATTACAGACGTGAGCCACCGTGCCCAGCCCACTTTCCCTTAAAGTTTTAATCTGAGGGTTGCGTCAAGATACAGATTTTTAAAAGCACAAAATACGGTGGGAATGGCTAGAACTCCTGAGTTCTTCCTCCATAGTCACGCTTTAGGAAAAAACCACTAGATTAAGGAATCCTGGGTCCTCTGCATCTATACCCAGACTCTCCCCAGATGTCCACTGACTGGCTTGGGAAAAGGACTGTTCCCAGGACAGTCCCAGATCTAGTGATGTACAGATGAAGAGACTGCATCTCCATCTTGTCTCCTGGGCTTTTCCAACCCCGGGCTAGCTCCTCCCCTTCTCTCAGACCAAAAGCGGGTTTGAGGAACAGGCAGAGAAGGCAGAACTAAGAGGTGAGCAGTTTTCAATAGCATTTATTACAGCTTTTGTTTTCTTTTGTGTGTCTTGAGAAAATAGCATGTATTACAGCTTTATTAAAATCCTAATGCAATTGTTTTAAATTATTACACAAAGAAACAAAATAAGCAGCCCCTGTAAGAATCCGGCATATTTGGAAGAAGTGGGATTCACATTGGAAGGACATTAGAAGTGAGGGGGATGCTATGGAGCGGCTGAAAGTCCAAGAGCTGTGACCAGAGCCAGCACCCCATTGGGAATGGGTAGATGAGAGTGGAATCCCTGCAGTGCAAAGGGCTCTCCCTCTCTGGGACGTCCTGTCCTCCTCTGTTTCCAGTTTTGCCCCTGCCCTCCTCTTCTTAAGCCCACCTCCTTCACCCTTCTGGAATCTCCTTTGCCCAAAGGGAATGGGACAACAATGGCTGAGGGGCCAGAAAGCCTGATGGTGCAGGTGTGTTTGAGGAAATGAAGAGCAATTCCATGGATCTCTCTCTCTCTTTTTTTTTTTGAGACAGAGTTTCACTCTCATTGTCCAGGCTGAAGCGCAGTGGTGCAATCTCTGCTCACTGCAACCTCTGCCTCCAGGTTCAAGCGATTCTCCTACCTCAGCCTCCCAAGTAGCTGGGACTACAGGCATGTGCCACCATGCCCTGCTAATTTTTGGTGTTTTTAGTAGAGATGGGGTTTCACTATGTTGGCCAAGCTAGTCTCGAACTCCTGACCTCAAGTGATCCACCTACCTCAGCCTCCCAAAGTGCTGGGATTACAGGCATGAGCCATTGCACTCGGCCTCAGGGGTCTCTTAATCTACCTTCTAACACACACACATTTTTCCTACCGAGATGCTGAGGGCTGAGGAGGGGAGAGGGTTCCACTTCCTAATTCTGCAATGGCATTTCCCTGATGTCTCCAAAAAGGATGCCTGAGGCCATGGCGTGAGGGGCAGCTTATTCTGCTGTGCTGTCTGCAGGAATCCAGGGTATGCAGTTCAGCTTCTCGGCTACGAGTTGGGAGGATGGTGTCAATCTCACTGTCCATAGCAGCCGCTGCTCCCACCAGAGAACCATAGAAAAGTAAGAAATAGCCACTTGGTTTTCCACCCATATGGGCCATGCAAAACCCCAAAGTTTCTGGTTGGCTTCAGGCTGGGACATCAGTTAGCCATGGCCTGAGATCCACTGGAGGCTGGCTTGCAGCCTGAAGGGAGGGAAGAACAGGAAGAATCAGCATATCCCAAAAGAATGATAGCCTTCAAGTCCCCAGCACCCAAGTTCCCAGCACCCAGAGCGAACTGGATGTAGGAACCAAAGTTACATCCAGTCATTCAATTAACAGAGACAAACTAACTTGAGTACCTGCTTTGCATCAGGTACTGTGCGAGGCTCTGGAGTTAGTGGTGAGAAAGCAGACATGGGCTGGGAGTAGGGGCTCATGTCTGTAATGCCAGCACTTTGGAAGGTCAAGGTGAGCAGATCACCTGAGGTCGGGAGTTTGAGACCAGCCTGACCAACAGGGAGAAACCCCATCTCTACTAAAAATATAAAACTTAGCCAGACGTGGTGGTACATGCCTGTAATCCCAGCTACTTGGGAGGCTGAAGCAAGAGAATCACTTGAACTCAGGAGGTAGAAGTTGCCGTGAGCCAAGATCGCATCATTGCACTCCAGCTTGGACAACGAAAGCAAAATTCTGTCTCAAAAAAAAAAGAAAGAAAGAAAATGCCGATTTAATTGAACAGACTATGTGTTGTGGGAGAGGGTTCTCCTGACCTAAGGGGTGGCAAGGATACTGCTAGAAACGTGTGGTCCCTTCGACTGACTTGCCTGAGTCTCTCCTTCTTCAAAAAGATGCCTGGGCAAGGCGCAGTACCTCATTCCTGTAATCCCAACACTTTGGGAGGTCGAGGCAGGAGAATTGCTTGAGCCCAGAAGTTTGAGACCAGCCATGGGCAACATGGCAAACCTTGTCTCTACAAAAAATACAAAAATTATCTGGGCATGGTGGTGTGCACCTGTAGTCCTAGCTATTAGGAAGGCTGAGGTAGGAGGATCACTTGAGCCCAGGAGGTTGAAGCTGCAATGAGCCATGTTTGTACAACTGTACTCCAGCCTGGGGGTGACAGGGTGAGACCCTGCCTCAAAAAAGAGACACCTGGGTGCCCAGCCTGCCATGATTCTACTTGACACGTAAGAGGAAAGGGAATTTTTCAGGCCTGATGTAAGGCCCTTTCTACATGGCCCAACTCCTTCAAACCCTCAGGTGATTACTCAGTAGTTACCTGCTCAGTGCCCCTTGTCAGATAACTTACCTACAATTGCAGCATTCCCTCCACACACTTCCAATCTGCCTTTTCTTTGTTTTTGCTTTTGGAAATGGGTCTGGATATGTTGCCCAGGCTGGACTCCAACTCCTGGCCTCAAGCTATCCTCCTGCCTCAGACTCTCCAGTCACATGAATTACAGGCATGAGCTACCATGCCAGCCCAATTTCTGTTTCTTAGTCTTTATTCCTCTTACCATTTATCAAGACAGGGTCTTCTCTGTCACCCAGACTGGAGTGCAGCAACATGATCAGAGCTCACTGAAGCCTGGAACTCCTGGGCTCAAGTGATTCTCCTGCCTCAACCTCCTGAGTAACTAGGACTACAGGTATGTGCCACTACACCCAGCTTGTTTGTTTGTTTGTTGTAAAGACAGAGTCTCACTCTGCTGTCCAGGCTGTTCTCAAACTCCTGGGCTCAAGCCATTTATCATTTCCTTTTTTTTTTTTTTTTTTTTTTTTTTTGAGACAGAGTTTCATTCTTGTTGCCCAGGATGGAGTGCAATGGTGCAATCTCGGCTCACCGCAACCTCCACCTCCAGGGTTCAAGCGATTCTCCTGTCTCCACGTCCCAAGTAGCTGGGATTACAAGCATGCACCACCATGCCCAGCTAATTTTTGTATTTTTAGTAGAGATGGGATTTCTCCCTGTTGGTCAGGCTGGGCTCAAACTCCCGACCTCAGGTCATCCACCCACCTCTGCTTCCCAAAGTGCTGGGATTACAGGTGTGAGCTGCCATGCCTGGCCATCATTTTCTAACTGATTATAATTTTTCTTGTTTATCATCTGCCTCCACTACTGGAAAGTAAGCTCCATGAGGGCAGGGATTTTTTGTCTGTTCTGCTCACTGCTGTTTCTCCAGTGCCTAGAACAGTACCTGGCACAAAGGAGAGCACCTCCAGAAAGATTTGTGGACTGAATTGTGTCATTTACTCTACAGAAACTCTGGGAGGTATAATGATCCTCCTCCTTACAGACAAGAAGTTGAAGGTCAGAGCAAGTCAATGATTTCTGCCTGGAAGGCTTGTTCCCCAGGTCTCCCCATGGCTGTCTCCATCTCTTCATTCAGGTCTCAGCTCAAAAGTCACCTCTTAGGAGAGGCCAGCCCTGACTACCAGAACTAAATCAGACCTATCCCTCTCCCCTCTATTACTGGTATCCAGTGGGATTCTTCACATCACTTCTCAGAACCTAAGATTATTGCAGCCAGGCATGGTGGCTCATGCCTGTAATCCCAACAGTTTGAGAGGCTGAGGCTGCTGGATTACCTGTGGTCAGGAGTTCGAGACCAGCCTGGCCAAAAAGGTGAAACCCCACCTCTACTAAAAGTATAAAAATTAGCTGGACATGGTGGCAGGTGCCTGTAATTCCAGCTTCTTGGGAGGCTGAGGCAGGAGAATCGCTTGAATGTGGGAGGTAGAGGTTGCAGTGAGCCGAGATCATGCCATTGCACTCCAGCCTGGGTGACAAGAGTAACACTTTGTCTCAAAAAATATATGTGTGTGTGTGTGTGTGTGTGTGTGTCTGTGTGTGTATGTATTGCGTTTAGGTGGAGTGTTATCTCTCTCTCCACTAGAACAAGCCCCTGCAAGCCGGGATGCTGTCTGCTCGTGGCTTACCCACAACGTCTCAACTGCAGGGAGATGCTCAGTTGGCTTGGCCCAGGAGCTAACTGTGAGCCAGATTCTGACAGGAGAGAGACAGGAGGAAGATTTTGATGGTCAGTCATCCATTGGCTCAGCCAGGCCCTGGAGGTCCTGGTGGGGCAGCCACTAACCCTGCCCCAGTGAGGGCACAGCAGCCTTGTATATACCACGAGTGATCTTTGATGGTGCTGAGAGTAAGGAACTGGGAGATCTTCACCAGGCTCACGGAGTCCTTCACGTCCTGCTTGTTGGCAAAGATCAGGATAGAAGCATCCCGCAGAAGCCTGTGGACAGAGGGGCCCAGCCCCAGGTAGCCTGCTAGGGCCCAGCTTTCCTACTGCCTCACAGGTCCTCTCTTGCTCCCTCTCCAGCTATCCTAGCAAGAGAGGCCCATGCCGAGATGGGGCAGAGATGGGGAGCCCTGCCAAAGTGGTAGCAACCACATCAAATGACACCAGCAGTTCATGGAAAGCCTCTTTATGACAATCCCATAGATGGGAATTGATCCCCCTCAGTTTCTCACTTGGGGAAACTGAGGATCAGAGAGGGGAAGTCACTTGTCCGAAGTCCCACAATGAATGAAAGATGGGATTAGAACTTGAACCAGCACCTCTGGCTTCTGTAGTCAATTGCACTGAGGGCACTGATGCCCTTTGTCAGGCATAAACCAGCCCTGCCCATGCTGCTGGTGTAGAAGCTCTCAAAACCTGGGACATCAGTAATGAATCTCAGAGAGGCTAAGTGACCAGCCTGAGGGCACACAGGTAGTACCATTGGGATCCCAACTGCAGAGGGCTTACCTTATGGGCCAGCATTTTATATAACTCCTCCGGGGCAGTCAGCAGCCAATTCTGGTCCATGTTTTCAATCACAAAGATGCTGAACTGGACAGCAGAGGGTAGTGTAAGAGGTGGGCTTTCTCTTTGGTAAACATGTTTCTGCCCACTATGTTTCCCCACTGGTCTCTGCACCAGCTCCAGATAAAAGAAACCATGCAGGCTCAAAATCTCACCACCCTGCTTCCATTATAATTGTCTTTTTTTCTTTCTTTTTTGAGACAGAGTCTCACTCTGTCACCCAGGCTGGAGCACAGTAGCGCGATCTCGGCTCACTGCAACTTCCGCCTCCCTGGTTCAAGCAGTTCTCCCACCTCAGCCTCCCAAGTAGCTAGGATTACAGGCACATGCCACCACATCCAGCTAATTTTTGTTTGGTTTGGTTTTTTGCTTTTTGTTTTGTTTTGTTTTTTGAGACAAAGTCTCACTCTGTCGCCCAGGCTGGAGTGTGGTGGTGTGATCTCAGCTCACTGCAACCTCCGCCTCCCTAGTTCAAATGATTTTCCTCCCTCAGCCTCCCAAGTAGCTGGGATTACAGGCGTGAGCCACCACACCTGGCTAATTTTTGTATTTTTAGTAGAGACGGGGTTTCCCCATGTTGACCAGGCTGGTCTTGAACTCCTGACCTCAGGTGATCCACCCACCTCAGCTTCCTAAAGTGCTGGGATTACAAGCGTGAGCCACCATGCCCTGCCAATCATTATAATCTCTATCTCACAAATTGAGGAACCAAGGCTCAGAGAGGTTATGTGACTGATGTCACACAGCTGCCTTGGAGACCCTCCAGCCTGGTGCCCTCCTCACCTTGGTGTTGGAGTAATATGTGATCCAGGTGGAGTGCAGAGCCTCCTGCCCCACTAGGTCCTACATGAGGAAGTGGGTCTTCCGTGGAATGATCTCCACATTGCTGCTGATGGTGGAACACGTATGGACCACTTCATTGGTCAGGCTGGGGAGGTAGGAGAGGGCACCAAGAGCTCAGTCCAGCCTATGCCCATCTCTGGCCCCCAAATGCTCTACTCCCAAAGCAGTCTGAATCGAACTCAGAACAAGTCCACCCAGGTTCACTGAGCACCTGCTGGGGGCCAGACCCTGTGCTGGGCCCTGAGGAATGAAGACAGGAGGGAGACCAAGCCCTGCCCTGGCTGGGACCCCAGAGAGGGGAAACATCTTGCAGCAGTCTCCTCAAACTTTATATCTTTTTTTTCTTTTTATAGAAATGGGGTCTCACTATGCTGCCCAGGCTAATCTTGAACTCCTGGCCTTGGGCTCCTGCCAAGAGATCCTCCTGCCTTGGCCTCCCAAAGTGCTGGGATTACAGGCATGAGCCACAGAATCCAGCCTCCTTAAACTTTAATACGCAGTTAAATCACCTGAGAGTTTTGTTAAAACGCAGGGTCTGGCCAGAGTCTGGGCTGGGGCCTAGGGTTTTGCATTTCTTTCTTTTTGAGACAGTTTCACGCTGTCGCCCAGGCTGGAGTGTAGGCACCATCACACCTCCCAGGTTGAAGTAATTCTTCTGCCTCAGCGTCTCAAGTGGTTGGGATTATAGGCGCATGCCCCCCACACATGGCTAATTTTTGTAGAAATGGGGTTTCGCCATGTTGGAAACCCCATTTCATGGGCTAGTCTCAAACTCCTGACCTCTAGTGATCCTCCTGTCTTGGTCTCCCAAAGTACTGAGATTACAGGCATAAACCACCATGCCTGGCCGTTTTTGCATTTTAAGATGGAGTCTCCCTCTGTCACCCAGGCTGGAGTGCAGTGGCGCCATCTCGGCTCACTGCAACCTCCGCCTCCTAGGTTCAAGTGATTCTCCTGCCTCAACCTCTCCACCAGTAGCTGGGACTACAGGCGTCTGCCACCATGCCCAGCTAATTATTTTTATTTACTTATTTTTTAAGATGGAATCTCACTCCTGTCACGTAGGCTGGAATGCAGGTGGTACAATATCTGCTCACAGCAACCATCCACCTCCTGGGTTCAAGCAATTCTCCTTCCTCAGCCTCCTGATTAGCTGGGATTACAGGCATGAGCCACTGCACCAGGCCTTTTTTTTTTTTTTTTTTTTGTATTTTTAGTAGAGATGAGGTTTCACCATATTGGCCAGACTGGTCTCGAACTCTTGACCTCAGGTGATCCACCTGCCTCAGCCTCCCAAAGTGCTGGGATTACAGGCATGACCCACCTCGCCAGACCACAGTTTTGCATTTCTAATAAGCTTTCAGATGATGCCTATGTGACTGGTCTGCAGACCACGCTTTGAAAAGCAAGAGTTTAGAAAAATGAAACAGACACAGTGAGGGACATCAGAGAGATGCTTTGTTTAGTGACATAGAAAACATACACATGCTTTTATATGCAAATAATGATTCTGGGCCAGGCTCGGTGGCTCAAGCCTGTAATCCCAGCACTTTGGGAGGCCGAGGCGGGTGGATCACAAGGTCAAGAGATCGAGACCATCCTGGTCAACATGGTGAAACCCCGTCCCTACTAAAAATACAAAAAATTAGCTGGGCATTAGCATGCCTGTAATCCCAGCTACTCAGGAGGTTGAGACAGGAGAATTGCTTGAACCCAGGAGGCAGAGGTTGCGGTGAGCCGAGATCGCGCCATTGAACTCCAGCCTGGGTAACAAGAGCGAAACTCCGTCTCAAAAAAAAAAAAAAAAAAAAAATTCTGAAAAGTTACTGCAAAGTTACAATAGGAGGAAAACTAGGGGCTAGAGTGCAGAAGGAAACTTACTTTTCACTGTATAATCCTCCATTGTTCGAAATTTTCCTTTATATATTTTTAAAATCATTTGCCTGTATTCCTTTTTCATGAAAAAGCTTGTCCTAAGTAAAGTACTTTGGAGAATCTAAAATGGGAGCGGTACCACCATCCAGAGGGCGAATATCGGGGAAAGCTGCGATCGGCATTTACTCAGCACCACCCACATGTGCCAGGCTTGCTAGACCAGGAGCTACCAGGCCTCATGAGCCTTTGGGTTTGAAGAAGGGGAAGAAAGTTAACAGGCAGAGGGGGCAGGGGTGAGAAAGGAGGAACCTGACGCTAGAGGGAGCAAAGTGCAGAGAGGCAGGTTGGGACACTTGGCAGGCCTGGAGCTGAGTTTGGCAGCGTTCCCGAGAAGATGGAGCAAAGCAGTCGGAGCTACGGTTGCCCGTACCGTGCAGGATTTTAAAGCCAGACCGAGAAGCCGCAGTGTTAGGAAGATCCAAGCAGCTTTCCCGAAGTCACTCCTCCGGACTACAGAGGAGCCCGGGAGCCCTGAGAAGAGCTCCAGTGATTAGTCCCCATGCCTGTCAGTCTGGTGGGAGGCCCAGCCCTCTACCCTCGCCGCCCGAGAGTCCCTTACAACTGGTAGCGAATGGTGGTCTTTCCTGCGTTGTCCAGTCCCACGATGATAACCTTGTGTTCTGGAAGCATCAGAGGAAGGGCAGCGTCAGGGCCAAACCTGATGACCAAGGGACTGTGTGCCCCCACCAGACCTCCCAGGAAGGAGAGAGCGCCCCCCGCAGGCTGGAGACCTCTGGCCACCGTACCGCGTCTGCTTCCCACCCAGCCCGGACGCCTGCGCCACTCTGGGACCGTGGAAAAAACAGCTGAGCCCCCACCTCCCTTCACATTCTAGAAAAGTGTCTGAAAGGTCCAGGGCGCCTCTGGGCTTGCCAAGAGGCAGTGTCTGGAGAAAGAGCCGAACGTGAAGTCACAATCTCAGGAAACCCGCAGCGGCTCCCTATCCCAGCCTCTGGTGCCGTTTAGCGGGAAGGAAGGAGGCTCGCCTAGCCCTGCGTCCTGGGGCGCACCGAAGCCCGGGGACCCAGGAGGAGCAGGCGGGGACGGGGGCAGAGGAGACCGCCGGGCAGGCAAGGAGCGCCCACACACGACTATTGGAGCCCGAGGTCCTCCATGTGTCCGACCCCAGATCAGAGGAGGCCCAGAAGAGAGCGAGATCAAAGCGCTTGCTTGGATGTTCGGTGCGTACCGTACCCCGGTTCCCAAAGATGCTCATTAACTTGGCTATCAGCTGTCTCGGCACTTCCCGGGCCGGGCAGGTACAGGAGGACTCAGCGGCCTCGGGAGCCGGGTCGGCCCTGGTGCTCGGAGCTCCGCACCCCGCACCCCGCACCCCGCCCCCAGGGAGAGTCTGGCATGCTTCGCCTATGAAGCTGGGGAAGCCCCACGCGTCACCACCAGACCTGGGAACCCTCTGAGACGCTGGCCCTTCGCGAGCGCTATAGACATCCCAGTGACTATGAGCTACCTGTCCAGGGTCCGAGAGGTCCAAGGAATAAGGGGGGTTTCCAGCCTCCAGCTCTCCCTACGCCCTTCGAAAACTCCAGGATTCTCCCGCTGAACTGCTCCACCACCGCAAATGGGGGAGACAGCACTGCGCCCGGAACCGGATCCCAGCTCTCCCTCCTCTGAGTGCCATGTCTAGGGCACTAGACAAGAAAAACCCCAGGCGACCCACTTTCTGTACCTACCAGCTGTATAGGACAGACGGGGCTCACCAATCCTCTCTGAGCTGGGAGAATATTCCAACCCTCCACGGATCTTCACTCGGTTCACTAGCGTGGGTCTTGCGGGCTTTCTCAAAGTGCGTTCCCCTGGGGAAGGGCAGGGTCTCCCTTTGGTGCTGGGCAACTTCTAGAATAAATCAGTGCTCCCGCAATTCACTGACAAATCCGCTGCTCAGGCACAGCTTCCTGACCCCCAAAATTGGGGAGCATGAAGAGAGATCCTCCAGCTGGAGACCCTGCAGAGAGGCCCCAGATACCTGGCAGAGGAGTACAGGGACCAACAGAGAACCAGGAGGCGAGGAGGAGGGAGGGAATCGAAGGGGGAGTTTCTGTGAATTTCTTTCTTTGCTTAAGCTGGGAAAAAAAACAGAAAACAAAAAGAGAAGTCGAAAAGGCAAATCATCCTCTGGCTTTGGGGGTGGTTAACAGGGATCCTTCCACCCCACTGCACTGCCCTACTACAACCTCCACTAAGGTAACAGCCCTCTATGAAGGTAACAACTCTTTTTTATTTTTACTTTTTTGGAGATTGGGTCTTGCTCTGTCACCCAGGCTGGAGTGCAGTGGTGGATCTCGGCTCACTGCAACCTCCTCCTCCTGGGTTCAAGCAATTCTCCTGCCTCCACCTCCTGAGTAGCTGGGATTACAGGTGCCCACCTGTATGCCAGGCTAATTTTTGTATTTTTGTGTGTGTGAGTGATGAAGTCTCACTCTGTCATTCAGTTTGGAGTGCAGTAGTGCATTCTCGGCTCACTGCAACCCCTGCCTCCCAGATTCAAGCAATTCTCTCTCAGCCTCCCAATTAGCTGAGACTACAGGTGCGTGCCACCACACCCAGCTAATTTTTGTATTTTTAGTAGAGACAGGGTTTCACCATGTTGCCCAGGGTGGTCTTAAACTCCTGACCTCATGATCTGCCCGCCTTGGCCTCTCAAAGTGCTGAGATTACAGGCATGAGCCACCACGTCTGGCCAGTAACAACTCTTTAACTGGTCTCCCTGCCTCTACCTCTCCTTTCCCAGGGCATCCTCCCCCATGGTCCTAATTAACCTTCCTAAAGCACAGCTCAGAGTCTGTAACTCCATCAGCTCATAAACCTTCAATGGCTCCCTATTGCTCACTGGATTCAGATGAGTCTCCACCTGACGTTCAAGACCCTCCATGAACAGCCCCCACCTGCCTTCGCAGGCTTGTCTCCCAGATCTGCATCTATTGCTTCCTGCCCCCACATGCCCAGCTCTTTCTGACTGTGCCTTTGCTGCTGCATTTCCTCCTTGAGTGCCTTTCACTTTCTCAGAAAGGAGAATGCCTGAGACCCTTTAGCTCCCCTCCATAAAAGTCACCTGCTTCCCCAGCCCTGGCTTGGTTCTCCAGCCACATGGGGCTTCTCCCTACAGTGGGATTATAGACAGGCAAATCTGTTTCCTCCCATCAACTGTGCATCCTAGGGTGGGGTTGATATTTTGTTCACCAGCATGTGCCACCCCCTCCCTGCATGGTCCAGAGCCCGGCACACAGGAGGAATGTGTTGTTATCAGACTAAGGCAGAATGAGTTAAACTACAGCCTGAGAAATGGCACTCAGAGTATTAAAAAAGGAAGGTGAACACAAGTTTAAGAGGATTGAGGAAGCCTGGGAAGTTTGCAAGAGAAAGAAGGAAAATAGCTCAGTAAATACAGACTTGCATCCCACCCAGCTTGGTGCGGAGTTAGAAGGATAGAGTTGACAGCCAGAGTCCATCTGGGCTGATTGCATTTCAGCCTCTGGAGACAAGGAGCTAAGACCTGGGGCTGGTAGTGGGGCACCAACTGCGCTGAGGGAAGCAGCCTTGTCTTAAGCATTTTACCATCTGTTTCCCAGGAGTAGTGGGTGGGGGGAGGAACCTCTGAGCGCATGCTGCCCTCCCCACTTCCTCTTTGCAGAATTGAAAGTGACACTCTGCAAGCCGGAAATACATTCAGAAAACAGACAAGGAGAGCAGATTTCTCTGAGCATACTCTGGCTTGGGAGGCTGCCTGATTAAAAATAATAATAAAATAATTAAAAGAGAAAATAAGAAAATAGACGAGGAGATCTGCCTTCGCTTTGAGGCCCAGGATCTGGATCTTAGGAAGCGTCCATTCATTTAATCATCAGTTTGACAAATATGAGCCAGGAAACATGTGACATGACAAAAAGACCCAGTCCAGGTCTTTACACTTTTTTTTGGTTTTTGAGGCAGAGTCTCGCTCTGTAGTCCAGGCTGGAGTCCAGGGCAGCATCACAGCTCACTGCAGCCTCAACCTCCCAGGCTCAAGCAATCCTCCCACCTCGGCTTCCCAAGTAGCTGGGACTCGAGGTGCGAGCCACCACTCCCAGCTGATTTTTGTGTTTTGTGTTTTGTATGTGTGGTTTTTTTTCTTCTTCTTCTTCTTCTTCTTGTAGAGATGGGTTTCGCCATTGGTCTCAAACTCCTGGACTCAAACAATCCTCCTACCTCGGCCTCCTGAAGTGCTGGGATTACAGGCCTGAGCCACTGCTCCCAGTCCCAGTCTGGGTTTCTATGGTGCTTATGTTCTAGAAGGAGAGACAGATACACATAGGCACACAGACACACACGCACAAAACCTCTGAGAGACAGTGCATAAGAAGGCCTAATCTAGTAGGGAAGCAAGGCACCCTTCTCTGAAGAAGAGATTATTGGAGCTAAGACAAAGTTTTCTTCTAGGATACTGAATTGGGACACCCCCTTGTCTCTGGACCATGGTGGCCTCAGCCTAGTTGACTTTATTGTAGAACACTGGAAACTTTAGGCTACACCAGGGACCTGGGCCTCTCCCACACCAGCTCATTCTGGAACAGAATCCACTGCAAAGACAGAAGCAGCTAGTCAGGGAAGGAAACGAAGGTCCCAGGTAGGAGGGGTCCCCAGTCCCTCGGTTCCTGCCAGTTCTCAGCTGACTATGGTTGTTGAAATCCTCATTGACAAACACTAACTTGCTGATGGTGTCGCCAGAGTTAGTTGAGAGCTTCTGGTTACCAAGATACAAGAATCTGCCCCCATCTCGCAGTCTCTCCAAGCCAGCTAGAAATGCCTTGCCTGCAAGTTCTGAGCAAATGCAATTTCTTTTTTTTTGTTTTATGAGATGGAGTTTCACTCTGTTGCCCAGGTTGGAGTTCAGTGGTGTGATCTCAGCTCACTGCAACCTCCAACTCCCGGGTTCAAGCTAGTCCCCTGCCTCAGCCTCCCAAGTAGCTGGGATTATAGGCGCCAGCCACCAGGCCTGGCTAATTTTTGTATTTTTAGTAGAGACGGGGTTTCCTCAAGTTGGCCAGGCTGGTCTCAAACTCCTGACCTCAAGTGACCCACCCACCTAGGCCTCCCAAAGTACTGCGAGTACTAGGTGTGAGCCACCACGCCTGGCCTGCAAATCCAATTTCAAGCAGAAGGCACATGGGACACAGAACGCATTCAGACCCCAGCTTCCTCCTTCCCAATCCCCAGTCCCCACCCTTGCAGAAGCTGATGCATCCTGGGGTAAAGGAATTAGCACTGAACTTGGAGGTCAAAGGCACCACAGAACTTGGCATCCATATATCTGAGTTCAAATCCTTGCCCCATGGCTGTGTAACTGCTGTCAAATAGTTTAACTGCTCTGAACTTTGTAAACTGGAGTTAATACCCGACCTTGATTCAGAACATCAGACTCCACTCCAGACCTCTCTGTGGAGCTCCAGACCATGTACCGAGCTGTCTTTTCCTCTTCTCTCTCTCTTTTTTTTTTTTTTTTTTGAGACGGAGTTTTGCTGTTGTTACTCAGGCTGGAGTGCAATGGCGCGATCTCAGCTCACTGCAACCTCCGCCTCCTGGGTTCAGGCAATTCTCCTGCTTCAGCCTCCTGAGTAGCTGGGATTACAGGCACGCACCACCATGCCCAGCTAATTTTTTGTATTTTTAGTAGAGACGGGGTTTCACCATGTTGACCAGGATGGTCTCGATCTCTTGACCTTGTGATCCACCCGCCTCGGCCTCCCAAAGTGCTGGGATTACAGGCTTGAGCCACCGCTCCCGGCTCTTTTTTTTTTGAGATAGAGTCTCACTCTGTCACTCAGACTGGAGTGCAGCGGTGCATTCTCAGTTCACTGCAACCTCCGCCTCGCAGCTTCAAGCAATTCTCCTGCCTCCTCAGCTTCTTGAGTAGTTAGGGTTACATGTACCCACCACCACACCCAGGTAATTTTTGTACTTTTATTAGAGATGAGGTTTCACCATGTTGCCCAGTCTGATCTTGAATTCCCGACCTCAATTGATCTGCCTACCTGGTCTTCCCAAAGTTCTGGGATCACAGGCATGAGCCACCATGCCTGGCCTCCTCTTCTTTTCTCAAATGTCCCACAGGCACCTCAAACCCACCTTGACCAAAGATGGACTGATCATTTCTGCCCCTAAATTCTTTGATTTTTTTCATCTTCTTTTGCTGGGAAGACCACCATCAGCAGCAGTCACCTCTCTTTCTCTTTTTTTTTGGAGACAGTGTCTCGCTCCATCACCTAGGCTGGAGTAGAGTGACACGATCTCAGCTCACCACAGACTCTGCTTCCTGCGTTTAAGTGATTCTCCTGCCTCAGCCTCCAGAGTAGCTGGAGGCCTGTGCCACTGTGCCTAATTTTTGTATTTTTAGTAGAGACAGGGTTTTGCCACACGTTGGCCAGGCTGGTCTTGAACTCCTGACCTCAGGTGATTTGCCTACCTTGGCCTCCCAAAGTGCTGGGAGCCACCACACCCAGCCACCTCCCTTTCTCTTAATAGCCACCTCCAATTACTCTCCAAGAGCTCAAGATTCTAATATTTATTTATTTAATTTATTGAGACAGGGTCTCGCTTTGTCACCCAGGCTGGAATGCAGTGGTGCAATCATAGCTCACTGCAGCTTTGACTTCCTGAGCTCAAGAGATCCTCCCCACCTCACCCTCCTGAGTAGCTGTGACTACACACCCAGCTAATTTTTTTTTTTGAGACAGAGTTTTGCTGTTGTTACCCAGACTGGAGTGCAATGGCATGATCTCGGCTCACCGCAACCTCCGCCTTCTGGGTTCAAGCAATTCTCCTGCCTCAGCCTCCCGAGTAGCTGGGACTACAGGTGCACACCACCATGCCAAGCTAATTTTTTTTTGTATTTTCAGTAGAGACGGGGTTTCACCTTGTTAACCAGGTGGTCTCGATCTCTTGACCTCATGATTCACCTGCCTCGGACTCCCAAAGTGCTGGGATTATAGGCGTGAGCCACCATACCTGGCCTAGAATTTTTTTTTTAAAAGATGGGATTTTTCCATGTTGGTCAGACTGGTCTCAAACTCCTGACCTCAGTTGATCTGTCCACCTCAGCCTCCCAAAGTGCTGGGATTACAATTATAAGCCACCACACCCGGCCTAATTTTTAAAGTTTTTGTAGAAACATGGGTCTCACCGTGTTACATAAACGAGTCTCAAACTCCTGGGCTCAAGCAGTCCTGTCAGCCCAGCCTCCTAAAGTGCTGGGATGACAGGCCTGAGCCACCACGCCCAGCCATCTGACTGCTAGATGTCTCTAGCCTCTTTGCCTCCCTTCTGGTCCCACTGCTGTGGCCTAAGGCAAACCCTCCTTTCGCACCTGGATTATCACAGCTGTTTCCAAGCTAGGCCTTCCAATCTATGTGCCAAACTGCAAACAATGCAGTCTTGCCAGTTGCTTACAATCCTTCCATTTCTGCGCACTAGTTTCAGGACAAAGCCCAAACTC